AGCGTTTTGCTGATGTTGCTGAGGTGAAGGAAAAAATGACGGAGGCGCTGTCAAGCATCTCAAAAGATGAATTTAGACAATGTCTTGAAAAATGGAATAAAAGACTAGACAAGTGTATTAGTGTAAGTGGAGAGTACTTTGAAGGGGATTGAAGGTTTGTGCTTAAAATTTGAATAAATAAGTTTAAAAAAAAAGTTCGGTTTCTTTTGGGTACCCCCTCTTATTCTTAGTATTTTACACTTCCAGAACCACAAAGAAATTACATGATACAAACCTTGGAAAATGGCGAGACTTAAGTTCCTTGATGAACACTGCTGTTCCAGTTTGTACTGGTTTATTTTCTGGTTCCGGCTCAGAGTAATTATGCCTATGGAAATTTGTTCGTGGTTTAACTGTAAAATAAGAAAAAATAATACCAGAAGAATAAATAAATAATTTACACATTTAAAACCTATGTCTCAACTGTAACTACAGTGTATCTTTCCTGTCCTGGAAAATGAAATATGTGACTGTAACACACAGGCATATCATGCCAGTTTCTAAGCATATCCATTCCAAAGCTTGCACTGCCGCGTGATTTTTGTTCAAAACAACATGAAAACCTTCATACTGGTAAAAACACGAATTCTGACTACATAAAAAAATTATGATTACTCTCATTTTAAGACTTCAAGTAACCATTATCTCGGCCGCACCATAGCTCAAGCGGTTAGTCACTGGCTTCCCATCATGGCGGCCAGGGTTTGATCCTGGGTCTGGTCAAGTTGGATTTGTAGTGGACAAAGTGACGCTGGTGCAGGTTTTCTCTGAGTGCTTCGGTTTCCCCTGCCAATCTTCATTCCACCAAATTCTCCATCATCATAATCACCCAGGGCAGGTACAATAGGCCAATCACTGGCTGCTGTGCCTAGTGGACCCAGCTGGACTCCACCCCCCACTAAGCAAATTAAAGAAAAAATCTCACAAAAGAGACAAAACCACAATTACTTATCACAAGACATGTATTTTAATGAGACAGTTATTTAATATAGACAGTATTCTGTATAATCTGTTCTTCAGAAATTTCTTATACAGAATTTCCCATACAACCTTTGCCAAACTTCAAAACCAGGCAACATGGACCCACATCTGGCAAGACCATGTCTGATATAAGAACCTCAAATTTCTATGCTTGTGACAAGAAAAAAGTCCTCTGCTCTGTAAATGATGCAATGATCACACACTTACATAATGATGGTCCATAGAGAGGCTCACACCGTGGGCAGTGATACTTATCCAAATCACTGGAGAGATACTCCCTCAAACCAACACAACTAGAAAGAGAACACACATATGACTTACATAATACTGATATGTAATTGGGTTATTGAGAGGCACATCCCTATTAAACAGATGAATGTGTGGCTTTGGCTTTTAGGACTAAGCCATGTCAAACATTCAGGATGTGGGTGGGACCCAAGTCACTGTATAATGGACAGTATAGCCACCCACCAATGCACAGCTGCCATGACTATTGCTTGAGATGAGTTCTTTATCTCAGGGATATGGGTGCTTCGGATATGGTAGTGGAATGCACTTCAGGGTTCATGAATTACGGGATCTCCAGAACACACCATGTATTGGAGTCTTAATTAAAAATTTCGTACAGTGATCAATCTTTACATTAGTCCTCCAAGCTAGCCACTCCATCCATCCTACTCGCTACCCCTACTGTAAAACACTTCTCTCTTCTGCGTCTCCCTTTTCAACTACCGTCCTCCCCCGCTCCCTATAACTGACTGCCATCTCTTTACAAGTCCCTCAGTGGGCATAAAACAAAACAAGAAAAATAACAAGAGAAAGCCAAGGGTTGAGCCTGGCATCTGTCTTACATTCGTATTTTACGAGATGCTCATCATAAAGCTTTTTAAGTCTTCAAGGCACACAAGCAGGGAACCAAAGACCCCTCCTGGCCAGTCTCACACAATATCAGCCCATGGGTTTATGATATTAGGAGCAAACTGGTGACGTTAGGGACAATAGTGACACCCTAAGCCAAAGGAAGACAACAGCTGAATTACAACTAGACAGTCCCGGGATAGTATCTCACCGGAGGAGCGTCTCTCAGGGTGTGAAACAATGCATAAATTGGTCATTCCCTTAATTAAATAATTTTGGCGAGGGACTTACGGTTACAACAGTGATGCAACTTAGTACCATTAGGTCATATGGTGCTGCCAACCTTAAAAGTTTACTTCTAAAAAACAAAACCCAAAGCTTAACCTTAGTTGGTTTGCATTATGAAAAGAAAAATAGCATGCAATTTAACCACCTCTTTAAACAAATATTAATATCTACTGCTACCCACAATCTAATAACAATTTAAGAAAATAAATTTCTATCCCATTCAGCTGCACTGAATTGGTCTAAAATTTCTCTTGCCTGCACAATCCTCTGAAGTGTCATTTAGCAACCCTGTGTCTGCTGACTTATCTCAACAGCACTGATATTTAGCATGGTTAGTTCTCCTTGAGATATTTGCAAATATAGTTTGCAGTGTTGTGAAACACAGTGTTAAAAAGTGGAATACAGTGCTGAACAGAAATTTTAACAGAAAACATCCTGACAGCATAGTGCCATGTAAAGCACTGATTCATAATATTATAACAAAATTATGTTTTATGGGAATGGTGTTGGACAAGAAGAGAACCTGAGAAAAAATATGTACTGATTGAAGAAAATCTCGATGATACCAGTATTCAACTAAAAGCAAGCCCGAAGAAACCGTTATGTTTTCTGGATCTTCAGTGTGTACAGTTAGCAAAAAGTACAGCTCACATTGGTATACAAATGCTAGAATTATGGTCTCACAAAACTAGTTGTACATAGACTTTTGTCTCCAGATTATGATGTAAGAATTTTACACTTTAGGCAGTATCAGGAATTGGCATGCAATGGGCTTCTTGAACCGCAACTTATATTTTGTGTCGAGACATGCTTCGTTTTAAGTGGTTAAATAAACAGCCAAAATAACAGATACTGCATCACAGAAAATACTTGTGCTATTCATAAAGAGCCACTGCCAATATTTAAAAGTTAGGGTTTGCTGTGTAATTAGTGTGTGGGGGATAGCTGGACCCATTTTTTTATGAAACAATAAATTCTGAATACCATATGACACCGACTGTCAACCTCCTTCAAATGGCTAACAAAAAAAATTATAAGTTGAGGACTGTGACCTCTGTGATCACAAAGTTCAAATCCTCGTGACTTATATGTTAGGCCCATTGGAAGAAAGAAACATGTGAACAATCCTTACTCTTTGGAAAAGATTCAAGAAAATATTAGGCATAAAATTTCCAGTATTCACAACAGCAGTTTTTTCATGTCTAGAAACACATTTTCAAGATGTGCGGCATCCTTAGAAGCAGAGCCGTCACTTTGATTCTTCTATAAAATGACATAACTTTTAACTCAAATGAAAAAGCTGGCTGTCAGCTATCAGATGCCATCACAGCTCAACGCGAGAAAAGTCTCATGTCAGATGCGAGAACCTGTCTAATAAGCGGCACACAATTTAGAAAATGTATACGAGCAAACAGTTCATTACATTCACAACATTGAATAAACTTTAACATTCGGCCAAGTCTTGAAGAAATCCAATACAATTAGAAGCCAGATGCATCGCACACACTGATATCAACAACACACTTTGGTACATCTAGTGAAACATCAAGAAATGGGACTACAAAATCTGCTTTAAGGTTATGTATTCCGACGACTGGCACTTAGGGCTTACTTCCCAGAAACGAAAATATGCCACAACACAAAAGCACAGCAAATTCTCATCACATTTGCCACTCTTGAAACAAGGAACTGAATATTATTTACAATATGTTACGAGATATGAGAGAAATATTCTCGATTACATACTTCACAAACATTCATAATACTCCAATCTGAATATATAACATAACACACAGAAATTGAAACAAAAGGCAATATACCTTCCATGGAACCAATCTTTGCAAATATCACACTGTATCATAAACTTATTATATTCATACGGCTGTCCACACAAACAGTAAATCGCTTCCATCGCCATTTTCATTTGTTTGATTACAAAACCAAACAAAGTAACCTATCGCCATCAAGATATCATCAGCGATGATTCAAGGGTAACCACAGCTTCCTCAGATGCACAAATAATCCAGGAGTGCCTAGCGCCATCTTCAAAATATCGACACAAAAAACCTTACTTACAAGTTACCTGCTGCCATCTACAAATGGATGTAAGTATTGCTAAATAAGATCCGGCTTGGATAGCTCATTCTTATTCCTATACTTGCGCATGAAAACATCTGCCTAAGAAAATGGCGTCTTTCATAAATTCTTACGAGAGGCCAAAAGCTAAACAACAACAGAATGAACAAATGACTTTACGCATGAGAAGTAACAACACGAAGAAAAGCTGTATGCAAAATCTGCAAAGAATTACGCAGGCCTCTTGCTCAGGACCGTAAAAGGATACGAAACTTCAAATATTACCAGCCGGGATAGCTCAGTCGGTATAGCAATGGGCTAGGGGATGGACGGATGGAGTTCGATTCGCGGCAGGAGCAAGAGATTTGTCTTTATTTCACAGGGTCCAGACAATCCAGACCAGCTTTGGTGCCCACCCAGCCTCCTGTCCAGTAAGTGGCAGAAGCTGACCACTTACCCCCATCTACGAGTAGCGCCCATCTAGTAAATTGGCAATAAAATTAATGTAGACACAGCTCTAATAGACATATTAAATTAATTACCCAATTAATCAGGTGTGAATAGGTAAATCAGTGCTAAGGCAACTGTGTTTCAGACTGATTCAGTAACTAATACTTACCTTACTTTGAAATTACATATCTCCAAATGACAAAGTATTCATTAAAATTAATAAAAATAACTAAGAATTCACAAACTTAACTCAGAAGAAGTGCTCCCTCTGACTTCTGCAAAGAAGTTCTCCAGATACATAACAGGGTATCATCTTGTTCCTTCCTGAACAAGGTTTGCTTTCTTCAGTATCCCCTCCTTCCTTTCATTGTAGAACAGAGCAATTGAAAAGAATGTTTACATGAAGACATGAAGAAACTTAGCATACTTCATATCTTTGAGATCTTGAAATTGGTAAATGAGATTTAAAGTTCTAAAGGCAATGAGTGGTCTTCCAGGATGTGATACCATGTATTTTCATAGATGGGTACCAATATTCTCTCCTGCTGTGAAGATGGAGATAATGGGTTTCTCTTAAATGTTGGTGCCTCTCTACCACACTACAAGATGTCACATAATTTAAGACCATAAAATTCAAATTCACTCCTGCATACGCCTCATATCTGACATAATTTTTTCAGCTCTGAAAAGTGTGTGCATATGAATATGATATAATACTATCTATAATTTAGAGACTGGAATACATTATACCATGGACACAGTCTGTTTACAGATCACTGGTTGAGAAACACGGATCTGAGCTATGTTATACATACATCACAAATGACAGATCAGAAATTGCAGTAAAAAAAGTTGAAATTTTCTTCATACTTAGGTCTTCAGAATCAGATCTAGATTTATACATTGGGTATCCTGACCAAGGTTTCTCATGGTTCCTCCCTGCAATTTTAGGCACAGTATTTCAAATTATTGTATGATCACGTTCATTTACATCCTTCCCAAAATTTCTGATGTAATGAAAGTGTCTTTAATTCATAAACAAACAAATAATTACTGTCACATGTTGGGGTGTTCATGCATGAATTATAAGACAGGTTTTGGACTCGATGATTGTATTTATTGCACCTTATACATTCACAACTCAAGACTACAAGTAATACAATGCTATCACTGATTTACACACTTTACAATTCACTGTTGCATACACACTAGGGTTCTCAGTCTTCACTAGCTGTATCCTGGCAACAGATTTCATAACAGTCTCACTGTCGCTTCATACCATACATGAAGTCTTTTCACAGCCTAATTCCTTTCTTGTCATTATTCTTGACTCTCAGTTCAATTCCTGTGCTTCAACGCTCATATCCTGGCAGGATGGCATCTCAAAACTTGACTCCTCACTTCACTCTATGCTGCTGAAAACCACTTCGCACAGATTTTGGAGAAAAAA